AGTTCAATCCTCGGTACAAAAAAAAAAAAAAATACCAGCACCTTTCAGTACTGTTACTTTGAGAAATTAAATCTCCATGTGAGTTTTAGTAGAAACAAACCATGTTCAAACCATAGCACCAGTCGATTTTTTTTTTTTTTTTATGGTACTGGTATCAGGGACATTACCAGTGTCCAACTACATCCAGATCTTTTTATTATTTTATTTTGAGACCAGGCCTCACTAAATTGCTGAGGGTGGCCTGGAACTTGCAATCCTCCCTGCTTACTTCCCGAGTTGCTGGGCTTAAAGGCACGCACCACCACTGCCCAGCAGCACCTGTCAACTCAGGGTCATTCAAATCTGGTCCTCCTGTCCGTTTGGTCTCTACTGCTGCAATTCAGATCTTAGCATTGCTCACCTGCACTGGCCTCTAACCTGATGACCATCTTTCCAGCATGGTTCCCACACACAGTCTACTTCTAGTCTACCAACACAGTAGACCAGTAGAGCATAGTAGTGGTGGTAAATATGGACTTTAGAATCAGAATCTGTTTTTTTTTTTGTTTGTTTGTTTTTGTGTGTGTGTATGTGTGTGTGATGCTGAGGATTACACCCAGGGCCTCGTGCATGCTAGGTAAGTGCTCTATCATTGAGCTACTTAGCTGTTTGATGTGGCAAGCTGTTCAACTTTTTGTTTCCTTTTAAATGGAAAAAAAAAATGTCTGCCCTATAGAGTTATTGGCACATGCAAAGCCCTTCAGAAGCTGGGGCTGGCCTACCTCCACGGGCTTAACTCTTATCCCATGACTGGACACCTTGTATCCCAGCCAGACGTCCCTTCCTTGCCTGATCACAAATGTGACAAAACACTACCCCACATGCACTTACCACATTCCATCCCCTCCCTTCTCCTCATGACTTTCTCAACTCAAGCATCACCTTCTACAAGAAAACCTCCTGATTCTTCACTCCCCTCCCCACATCCCTACCAACCAACCGGGCTTCTTATAACACTGTATCACAAATGTCCGTTTCCTTACTGGTACCCAAATTACTATGAGATGCCCTAAGAGCAGGGATTGTATCTTGGTCTTCTTCACAGCCCTAGCATAGAGGAGATCCTCAGTAAGTATTTCAGTGGTTAAATAAATGAATCAATGAATAAGTCAGTGACAACTTAAGTTTGGGACAGTTGGGTATAATCAGCACCATAGGCTTTAAGCAAACCTCTCAAAGATGGTAGTCTTTTGTACCCTTGCTTTCTGAATGAATCTGCTATGTTTAGCCACTAGCACATCTGAAGAGTTATAATGACTGTGGTTCTTTTTTTTTTAAGAGAGAGAGAGAATTTCAATATTTATTTTTCAGTGGACACAACATCTTTGTTTGTATATGGTGCTAAGGATCAAACCTGGGACGCATGCATGCCAGGCAAGCACGCTACCGCTTGAGCCACATCCCCAGCCCCATGACTGTGGTTCTTGTAGAGCATTGGACAGGGACTAGCACTTTCACTGTGGGGGTAAACAGTGACAGCTGTGAATTTAAAAACTCAATCAGAAATGATTCAGTGAGTAAATCTTCATTTTTTTCCAAGGAGCTCCAAATGGTACATAGTATAAACTGAATAGGCAGAAGTAGATATTTGTCTTCTGAAGTACTTGGGCCTGCGTGGCTAGAAAATGCTTTGTGAACAAGGAAATTCCATAAAAATATCTTTGTCCATTCATTTCTAGATCTTTTTCTTTTTTCTTTTGTGGTACTGGAAATCAGACCCAGGGCCTCACATATGCTAAAAAAGTGCTTTACCACTGAGCTACATGCCCAGCCCTCTCATCCATTCTTTTTTTCTTTCTTTTTTTTCCCAGTGGCACCAAAGGTTGAACCCAGGGGAAGCTTACCACTGAGCTACATCCCTAGCCTTTTTTATTTTTTGTTTTGAGCAGGGTCTTGCTAAGTTGCTGAGGATCTCATTAAGTTGGCAAGGCTGTCCTTGAACTTGTGATCATCCTGCCTCAGCCTCCTGAGTCCCTGGAATTACAGGCATGTGCCACCTTGCCTGGCTCATCCATTCATTTCTACCCTGAATGTCCACAAAGTCATTTCTTGCTGCAGGAAGATCTCTATTAAGCACAAGCAGACATTTTTCCCAGGGTGCCCTGGCACAAGGTGCTACCAGCTTTGCCTGGATAGAGCCCAGCTGCTAATGAGAGATATACTGCAGATGACAATCAAGTATATTCAAATACAAGGAGAAACCAACCCAAAATATGAGCTGCACTAATTCAAGAGGAAAGACGAGATTTTGTAATCAAACTACAGCAAAACTAATGAGAAGGATCTGGAAGTTTCAAGCACCAGCCAGTGCAAGCTGGGGCCACCAAGCAGCCAGGCTGCAGTTCTGTCCAGAGGAGAGATCATTTGGGGAAAGCCAGGGAGGCTAGGTGTGCTTTGCACCTTCCCAGGGCTGGTCCCTTTTCCTCATCAATGTTGCTGGATCTGTGATTCCAAATTATAACCATATTTGAGCAACCAGATGAGTACCTGGGATTGCAGGGGCCACCCTGGAAGGCCTAGATGAAAGGGGCAGCCCTGAGCAGTGGCAGGAAGGACATAGAAGTGTTTCTGAATGAAGCAGCTGTTTCTGAATCAAGCAGCTGTTTCTGAATCAAGGAAGTCCACAGAGAGAAGGGGCTGCCCCAGAAAACTCTTTTCCAGATTATCCCCAAACACTGGAAGGAGTAGTATGAGATATCCTTGAGGATTTTCCACCTGGGAGTGAATTTTCCACCTGGGAGGACAAAAAAAAGATGGGCTTTGTGTGGGGCTTCAGGAATTGAGCTGGTGTACCCCACAGCTCTGGGGCCTGAGGATGGATGGGGGCTCCCAGGGTCCGGCACAAGGGCAGGTTTGTGGAGGCAGGCTGGTTCTACTGGCAGCATTTCTGTGACTTTCCTTAGACGCATGCTGCAGTCCAAAGTGGCTCCTCCTTCCCGCCAGAGTCTCCCAGGAGGCTTCCCCTCACTCTTGTGGCATTTGCTGCTGTCAGTGTTCAGCAGCCACATAGGAGAGTTGAGTGTGCAGAGCGCAAATCACAGGATGGGGTTGTTGACTGCCTCAGTCTTAGAGCCTCCATCTCAGCGACCACTGCTTTGATAATAACAGGCAATAATGGTGTCCTGACACAGTGATAAATTGCCAGCACATGTCCATTATTAGGCACCATATGTTTGTTTGAGTTAAGCAAATAAAGTTGCCGAGTGCTGAAAGCAGTTCTTTTGGAGACCCAATCTATGCAGTCCTTTTCACTGGTCACTTCACCAGGTGCCTTGTGCCTTCCACTGTGGAGGGAGGGTCATATCCCTTCACCTTTCTGTTGTGCCTGGCTCATAGAAAGCGAGTGTTCATAGAGTGTTGTTCATTTCTCAGCTGGCAAAGAAGTATGAGGTCCCGACTTTAAAGAGCTCTCTTAAAATTGGCCCTTGGGCTGGGGTGTAGCTCTGGGATAGAGCACTTGCCTAGCATGTGCAAGGCCTGAGGTTCAATTTATAGCACTGAAATAAAAAAAGACATTTAAATTTAAAAATTATAAAAGATAAATATGTAAATAATGTAAATATGTGCTCACGCACACACACACACACACAAAATGAGGCTATTTGCTGATTCAGAGGAATGAAGCCACATGAATAGGCAAAGTCAGGCATGGTGGCACATGCCTGTCATCCAGTGGTTCAGGAGACTGAGGCAGAAGGATCTCAAGTTCAAAGTCTGCCTCAGAAACTTACTGAGGCCTTGTCTCAAGATAAAAAATTAAAAATAAAAACAGCTGGGGATGTGCCTAAGGGGTTAAGCACCCTGGTACCAAAAGAAGCTCTGCTTCATTATGGCTCCTTTCTCTTCCTTACAAAAATATTCAGTCTTCTCCCATCTTCCCAGATGTTCCCATAGCCCTCTGCTGACCCCTTTTATAGCATTTGTCACCATACTGTTAACGGCTTGCCTGTACAGGCTCAAGGAAGGTTGGTTGAGTAAATGAATTCACTCTTGTGCAGCTCCTGCCAGGACAGGCGTGCAGATGCAGTTGTGTCAAAGGCCAAGCGAGTGCTGGAAAGAGTGAATGACTAGGAAGTCTCCAGAAAAGCCTGACAGGAAATTCCCCTCAATAAATTCTAGTCCCCTCCTTCTTTCTAACCAAATTTTTTGTTCCATTTGCTTCCATCTCTCCTTGTGCACTTAGACAAAGTGCTTTACCTCTCTGTGCCTTTTTTCCTTAAATGTAAAATGGAGATGATAGTCATGGTGGTAAGTGATTATGGTGTCTATCAGTGGAATGCTGTATGGCATGAGCCAGGCAAAGGGCTCATGATGGTTAGAGAGATTCTCTACATGCTGTCTATCTTGATTCCTCCCCCTTCTCATTTGATGCCTCACACCCACACACATTTGCTTGCTCTCTCTCACCCCTTGTCCTGTTACCCAGCACAGCCAGGCTGCATGGTACTTGCCTGTAGTCCTAGCTATTCTGGAGGCAGACTTGGGAAGCTAAAACAGGAGAATTAATACCAGATCAGCCTGGGCAACTTAACAAAAACTAAAAAGGGTTGGGGATGTAGCTCAGTAGCATAGTTCCCCAAGGTTCAAGCTCCAGTTCCTCAAAAATAAACAAAAAAACCCAGGCCCTCTTCCCATGGATTCCTCCAAGCCTAAGACAGCTCAGTTTTGTGGAACCTCAGCCTCTATGGCCTCCTTGCTGAGTGAGCTCACTATCTAATCCTTGCAACCTCCTTGGGTTGCTCTGTGAGTTGTGAGACCTCCCCAACCCCCTCTTTAACCAGGAGGACAGGAATGAGGTGGCACCTTTCTGGCTCCCCAGAGGTCTGGACGTGCTGGGCAGTAAAAGGCACTAGAAAGTGTTGACAGAGAGGACAGGGTAAAGGGAAGTGAGATAATTCAAAGACTCAGCCTCTTTGATGGGGTGTAGCCTCCTGCCTCTCCATTGTCTCTGCCCTTCCCAGCCATTGAGCTGATAAAGGACCTGGTCAACTACGACGACGTACGCCAGTCACTGCTCAGGGGCCTGGTGGCACTGCTAATACCATCAGTCAAGGAGATGTCCAAACTGCAGCCCAAGATCCTCACTGGTAGGACCCCCTCGGATGAGGCTGCCTGGTGGAGGGAGGGGGGCTCCTTCCTCACAGCCCCTTGCTCTCCCAGTCTCCCCGATTCTCCAGCTCACCACCCACCTGCCAGTGTTCTTGCAGCAGGCCGCGGCCGCCAAGACCATTGGGTAAGCGGGCAGTGGGTGGGGGTGGCTGTAGCAAGCCAGGCGGGTCGCTGCGGATGGCCTGCATGCCTAGCGGCACCTGAGAGTCCGAGCCTCGCGGAGCAACCTGATAACCCTGCCCAGGGTTCTGGCGCGCAGAGACCTGAGCACAGCTGAGGAGATGCTGCACATGCGCGTGGTGCACAACCTGATGGCCGCCATGGGCAACACGGACCACAGCAACAGCCAGAGGCTGGCCAGCCTCACGCTGGAGGTGAGCCCGAGGCGGTGGGGACTGCGGGGCGGAGGTGCGGGCGCTGGCGGTCACGGTCTCGGTCACGCCGCCCCTCCCACCCGCCGGCTGCAGTTCTTCGTGCAGACGTTCCCGGTGGTGGAGGAGCACGTGCGCAAGTCCATGGGGGAGGAACTCTACCAGCTCTTCCTTGTAAGTGCTCCCATCCTGCCTGGCAGGTTGGTAGGAACGTGATGGTACCCCGACCCAGCCCCCCACACAGAGTGGGCTGGGTTGCCCCCGGTTGGGCTCTCCTTCCGCTTCTCCCCTTCCCCTAAGTACCCTTCCAGTCCGGCTGGAAGCTGACCCCACCTGCAGCACCACTCTGCCCAAGCCCGATTCAAGAACACTCTGCCCTGGTACCGTAGCTGTGTCCATCTCATTGCTGTCCTCAGATCCACCGTGAGGATTTGTACATGAAAATAGATAGCATTCAGGCAGACATCTTGACAGCCAATGAAGTCAATGTTGCCAAAGGTGAGCAACAGCCAGGGACCTGGAGTGCAGGCACAGCCAGCACCCAAGCTCATGCTCACCTTTGCTGCCCACAGTGTTAGAACTTGATGAAGTCCCCAACAGCAGCTCGAGCGTTGTAGTTGACCCTGGTGATCTGAATCAGATGACTTATATCACACACTTCACGGAGGCAAAGGCACAGGAGGATGAAGAGGCGGAATCAAAGGAGTAACAAACCCGCTGTGGCAAACCAGGAAGGCCAAGGTTGTGTGGCAGGGAAGCCTGACAGATGGCAGGAATCCGGGGTCAAGTGCAGGGTGACTCTACTTGGCTCCAGAGGAGGCTGGGGTTTATGCATGCAGTGGGAAAGAAGGAAGGTTGCTGGCTGGAAAGGGTCTAATAAAAAGTCTTGATATCTGCCTATTCTGTGTGCTTGTGGAAGGGGGAGGAGATCAGCAAGAGCTATGGTGATGGCTCAGAGCACCTCTGCTTACCTAGTTAAAAATCAGGTCCCTGTTAGGTAACTCCACTTAGGCCTGTAATCTCAGTCAGGAGGCTGATGCAGGAGGATTCCAAATAGTAGGTCCATGAGAGAAGGGCCACCAACAGCCTGAAAAGTTAAGGGCCTAGCCTGAATAGAGTCCCAGGCCCTCCTCCAAGACATCATATGTACCTGCACCCCCACCCAGCCCTTATTATTTTATTTTAAGGCAGAGTCTCACTTAATTGCTTAGGCTTGAGATAGAAATTGAGCCTCTAAAGGAAAAATATCCCTGTTAAAAAATATAGAATAAAAAATTGGTAAGCAACTCATGAGCCAGACAAAGGAGCCTAAGAGATAGAAAAGGGGCCAAAATATAAGGATACACTGAACATTTCATCAATTACTTTTTAACTTTCCAGTTTCCTATAAGTTTCTGAAGCAACAAGACTTCAATAGAAGAGATCATTAACTCCATGAGTCTAATTTTGTGGGCTAACATTCAATTGGACCATGACTCTTTGGCTCAAACACCAAATAGACCACAGCTAGAGATGTTGATGTGAGCTGAAACCTACATACTAACCAGACCCCTGATGGGGAAACAGTCCCTTTGGATCGTACATATCCCACCTAATTATGTACCCTAATAAAAGCTTGGCCTCAAGCTGGCAGTACATCTCACACTCAAGATTGCCTGTATCCTGCTCTTGAGAGTGTATCTTCACCATTTACTTTCTAATATAATAACCCTTTCTCTTTTTACTAAACCAGACTCATCTTTAACATCTTTTCAAAGACCTGAAAGTTTGAAATACAGGTATCCTCTAGACCTCCTCAGACCCCACATGGTAACAGGCTGGCCTCAATTTTTTTTGTATCAGGGATTGAACCCAGGAGCATTTCCCACTGAACCACATCCCCCAACCCTTTTTTATATATTATTTATAGATAGGGTCTCACTGAGTTGCTTGGAGCTTTTAAATTGCTGAGGACTGGCTTTGAACTCGAGATCTTCCTGCCTTAGCCTCCCAAACAGCGTGATTACAGGCATGTGCCACCACACCTAGGGCTAGTCTTTTTTTTTTTTTTTTAATTACAATGTACCTGGGCTGGGGATGTGGCTCAAGCGTAGCGCACTGGCCTGGCATGCGTGCGGCCCGGGTTCGATTCTCAGCACCACATACAAAGATGTTGTGTCCGCCGATAACTAAAAAATAAATATTAAAAAAATTCTCTCTCTCCCTCTCTCTTTAAAAAAAAAAAAAAAAACATTGCAATGTACCCTACTACGCTCTATATTCACAGCCCCTATTGCTCTATTTTTGAAGCATCATTGTTGGCTTATTCTCTATCTCATCACCGGACTGTAAGCTCCATTGGGACAGGGATATTTGTTTTGTTTACTCATACATCCCAGACATTAGGACAATGCTTGATATGCATGAATGAATAATCAAAGTATTTGAAGCAATTGTCCTTCCAAGTCAAAGGAAATGAAGTTAGATAGCAGTAATTTTACAGATTGCCACAAGAGGGCATCATAGGAGCTGATATTGTTGATCTAAAGCAGCCCAGCTTTTCTCCATCTGAACCTAAATACGGAGGAGAGAAAAGTTAAAATACAGTTGCGTTTTCCATCAAGCTAAATGGATTTCCTATTTTAAAGTGTCATTCTGGGGATGCAGCTTAGTCTAGAGAACTTGCCTATTGATGCATGTGTGTGTATGTATGTACATTACATGTATAACAGTAAAGTACTTGCCTATATAAGTGTATGTCACACACAAAGCAATCAATTATACTCTAAAGGGGGCAGGGGTATCATCATCATCATCATCATCATCATCATGATTACTGGCAGGGGCATACTGAGGGATTGAACTCGGGGGCACTGGACCACTGAACTACATCCCCAGCCTATTTTTGTATTTTATTTAGAGACAGGGTCTCACTGAGTTGCTTAGCGCCACATTTTTGCTGAGGCTGGCTTTGAACTCGTGATCCTCCTGCCTCAGCCTCCTGAGCTGCCCTACTGCACGGCTGCAGGGGTCATTTAAGGAATCTAATTCACAGGAGTGTAACACTGAGAGCCAGATTCCAAAGAGGTGTCTCTGGGCTTGTGTGAGGTGTGCAAACACTTCTCTGACAAAAGCGTTAAGAAGCGCGGAAGGCCTTTTCCCAGAACTTTTTAAAAAATAGTATCCAATGCTGGGGTGCTGGGAGGCTGAGGATCTCAAATTCAAGGACAACATGAACAACTAAAGAAGACCCTGTCTCAGAAAACAAAAAACTGGGGCTGGGGTTGTGGCGCTGTGCTGGTGCTCTCCCTTACCATGCGTGAAGCACTGGATTGGATAGTCGGCAAATTGAGAAAACAACAAAAATAATACTATCAAACAAACGTATTACGCCTATCTAACTTAAAAATGAGCCTCAGAACTCAGGTAAAGCATACTCGGGAAATGAAGAAGCTAACTAGACATTCGTTATATAGTAAAAGATTTGTTGGATGGCTTGTGTTTAGCTGAGTACCAATGAAACCTTTCTACAACTACTGGAGCCTATCTTTATAGACAATTATCAGCCCTACAAGTGCAGGGCCTCAAAAAATTGGGTTAAGACTCAGAATTGTTCCTCTCCACGGAAATCTTTAGTAAAAGGCGAAAGATTTATACGATCTGAAGAGAAACCAGAGTATGCCTCCATTCTCTGGCGTACAGTCCTCCAGTAACCGTAACTACTAGAACAGCAATGGTAACTATCTACACAAGAGAGATGATGATTTCTGTTGTTATCTTGGACAATTCTGGAGAAAAAAAACGTATTTACAAGAGAGGAAATAAAGAAATAGAAAAAGAAAAATCTTCCCGTTTTAATTTAGGAAATGTCCTATGTGCAAAGCATTGTGGGTATGTAAATGATTGAGTCGCCAACTTCTGGTTTCTGGAAACACCGTAGTTGATAAGTTGTCTTGCTAGGTGTTGGGCCACCATCAGGGGGCAGAGCAGTAGCCAGATTTACGGTAATGTAGACCCCCCTCTGTCCAACTAAAGTCTGACTTTTATAATTAACACTCGAAGTAAAAATTCTGGAGGTGTAGTTCAATGATAGGGTGTTTGCCTAGCACTGGGGAGACTCTGGAATCGATTTATGGCACCGCAAAAAAATAAAAAATTTAAAGCTCAAAAATGATTGTACATTCATTTAACAAAAATGTATTGAGCACTAGCTGTGCTTGCCCTAGGAGACAGGTATCTGTGATTGTAATGGTGGTCCACTTTACATTTTGAATTAGCCCTTGCTGCTTATTTTTAAAGGATATATATTTTTTTCTTTTGCACTTCTCCCTCTCACCGCCCCCCCCCTCCAAAACTTGGGGACAGGTAACAAGATTACCTTGAGTTATCTGTTCTCCACAGGAAGGAGATATCACCAGAAGAATTAGGAAGTGACTGTCTCCTAAATTAACAAGTGAATTTTCAACACACCATCAAGGCACAACTGGAATGTAGCCTTTTAATAGCTTCTTTGAAAGCTCTATAATTTTTCCTTATGGGCAAAATCACAGCCTCTTGGACAGGAGTCTCCAGTGTATCTCCTTTGCTAGCAAAAAGTAAAACTTCTTTTTTCTTTTTCTCAAAACCATGCCCTGGTTATTGCATTAGCATCAGGGACAGGGACTGAGCTTTTGGTAACATGATGAGGATTAACAGACAATTCAAAGACACAGGATCCAAAGAAAGTAAAGTTGGGAGGACATTCTCAGCAGAAAGGAACCAAAACAGTGTGAACCCAGTTATGGGAAGGCAAGTGGCTAAATGACAGGGACCTAGTGTTTTTGTTTGGTTGGTTGTTTAGATCGGGTCTTGGTAAATTGCCCAAGATGGCCTTAAATTTGTGATCCTCCTGCCTCCGTGTGCCTCCCCCTGTAGCTGGGTTTACAACAAGTGGGTCAACCAGTTGGGCATGATGGCATATAGTACAGGAGATATGTGACACCTTACCCATCCAAGAACCACAATCTTGTGTGTGTGGCTACTAAACTACATTTTTAATTTTTAATTTGAGACAGGGTCTGGGGATTGAACTCAGGGGCACTCTACCACTGAACTACATCCTCTGCTTTTTTTTATTTATTTTTTAAATATTATTTTAAAAATTGTAGATGGACACAATAACTTTGTTTATTGATTTTTAAAGGTGCTAAGGATCAAACCCAGTGCTTCACACATATTAGGCAAGTGCTCAACCACTGAGCCACTATCCTAGCATTTATTTTATTTTTTAATTTTGTGACAGGATCTTGCTAAATTGCCCAGGCTGGCCTCAAACTTGCAATCCTCCTGTCTTAGCTTCCTGAGGTTCTAGGATTTACAGGTGTGTGCCACTGAGCTCAGCATCTAACTGATTCATTCTTTTAAACAACTACTGGCTCTTTGGGTCTGCTAGCTACACCAGCCATTCCTGCCAGCCATTCCCACCAGCAGGGGCTCAATAGGGGCTCTTTCTATTAAGGATCTTATTGTCCAAATAAGATCCTCAGAAGGAGGCTGAGCTCTGTATCTAAATCCAGGGATTCAAGGGCCTCTCTGACAGCCCCCACTTCTATAAGGGGCTGAAGGACTGTTTTATACATATTCATGAAGATATTATAGCCAAGTTGTAGTAGTTGATCAGTTCTCAAGAACAACTGCTTTCATGCAGAATTGGCACTAGCTAGAAAACCTCTAATTTCATCAAGACTGTGTTCGGCATGAACCTTGTTTACCTGTTTGAGGCCAGTGATCTACTTGAGAGTGAGAACATGATGCACTTACAGGTGTCTCTTCTTGAGCTGTCAGGGAAAACCAAGACAGAGGGGTTACAGAGGAGGCATGGACATTGGTGTCAAGTTCTCAGAGAAGCAGGAGTGGAACTTCAATGATGTCATCACAAAGGCTGGTTAGTGTCATAGGGCTGCAGATGAGTCAACCCAACAAGTGGGTCAACCAGTTGGGCATGATGGCATATGGTACAGGAGGCATCTCTACAACCCAAAAAAGTGTATCCTGCCACCCACAGACCACTCCACCATCATCTCCACCATCAGATGAACACAAAAATGTGCTAGCCAGGTAGGTATGATGACTTTAGGGACCAAGAAGCTCATCTACCACAAGTGTGGCAACTCCTCATGTCCCTGCAGATGGGCTAGACACTCATGTGCCAACCAGAGTGGCAAGATCTTTTTTCCCCCCACATATTTTTTTTTAGAATTGGTACATTATATTTGTACATAATGATGGTCAAAGTGGCCAGATCTTTGGTTTGGGGTAGCCCATATATTACTCCAAGTACTGCCCACAAGGCCAACAGCATCTGGGCTCCATTGGGCATTAGCAATTACCGGAGCCTAAGGGAGACTCCAGAGTAACTCCCCTGCTCTATTGAGGCACATGGGTGTGCTATCTACTGTCTCTTTACATCGTTGCCCTGTGTGGATTTGGGGCTGGGTGTGGGGGGAGGGTCTGTGGCTGGTTTTTGTTTTTTTCACATTTTCAGTGCTGCACACAGAGAGTCTATGACAGCTGTGTGGGATCAGGCCAATAGGGGATATTTCTCCCCAATCCTGTCTTGGTTCCTTCACAGGACTGAGCCAGGCTGAAAATAATGGGGGAAGGCCATATCTAGGTATATAAGGAGTGGGAGCCCTATCAGGGCACATGTAAGCACTGAATTTCCCAGCTGTGTTGAGGAGAGTGGAATAGGGAGACAACTGGTCCCAAATGGTTTTCAGTTTCCTTTCCTTGCGAGCAGGTTGTGGTTTCTGAACCCACAGAAATTATAGGCAAGCTTAACAAAGGAAAAAATTAACTTCATTTTTCAGAGAAATGGGGTGATAATGGAGTAACATCAATCCCTTGAGAGAGAGCCAGGCCACAATCATAAAATGTAAAATGTTTTAGGATTGAATTTCCCCAGGATCCTCAGACAGACAATCCTGACTTCTTCTGGAGCCCAATGGGGAAACTGAGACCCAGGCAAGACAATGGATTTTCCAGTAGTTGAGGTAAACTTAGGCCCCTTCCTTATACTACCCGCCTCTCCACTTCAGGGCTCTCAGTGGATTTTTGTTTTGGCATGCCTGGCTCAAAACTCCTTTTTTTTTTTTTGGTACCAAGGATTGAACTCAGGGGCACTAGACC